CTTCTAAGAGTTGCTCACCCTCTTTTTTTGCCTACACTTCTCTTGCCCTGCTATCCACCTGGGTCAAACCCCTCCAGACCAATCCGCTGCCCTTCCTGGTTGCTTTGCCAGCTCCTTTGCAAGTTTCACATCGAAGGATTAGCTGTTCCTTGTGCGGTGCCAGGCATTGGCTTGGTCAGGCTTATTTCCTTGTGACTGAGTTGGCAACGGCCGCAAAGCAGGTCTTTTGCTGCGCATTGGTCACAGAATCACCTGGTAGGGCTGATGCTCACAACCCAACAACCCTTGCCTGAGTAATATATATTTCAACTGGAAATCCAAACTGCAAATAGTTAGTGGGTTGTTGTAGGTTTTTCTGGGCTATATGGTCATGTTCTGGAGGCAATTTTTCTCCTGATGTTTCGCAAATAGTTAGTTTATTATTTACTATATTTGTATACCGCTCTTCTCAGTCCTCAGGCGACTCAGAGTGGTTACTAATAGCAAAATTCAATGCTCAAAAACATCATAAAACAGCTAAAAACAATTAAAACAGTAGCACACAGTCAATATAAACCAATAAAACATCTAATTAGCGTATCATAGTTAAAATCGAAATCCTGTCTCATCATCCAATTGTTCCATATTCCTATGTTCGTTACACTCCCTGCTCGAACAACCAGGTCTTCACTTTCCCCTGAAATGCCACAGGGAGGGGGCTGATCTAATATCTGTAGGAAGGGCATTCCACAGCTGAGGGGCCACCACTGAGAAGGCCCTGTCTCTTGTCACCGCCAAACGTACTTGGGACGCAGGCGGGACTGAGAACAGGGCCTCCCCAGATGATCTTAACACCCTATATTTGGCAAGGGCGGTCCCGATTAATCCTCTGCCACCCCACTTTCCCAGCTATTTTGAGAACGACCCAATTTCTCCTCTTCCTTTCCTCCTTTGTCCTCAGCTTATTCTATTTGGTGCAGACTGAATTCAAAGAGAGGAGAGGGGCTGAATCTTTTCCTTCCCAATCAGCTCAGGCAAAAGTAAACTGCTGCAGCCTTTCCTAGCTTGTGTCTTCTTCCTCATTAATAACTTTGGTTTATTTGTTTATTGTATCAGAAGCGATAAAAACTTGGCATTATACTAAATGGCATTTGCCACTTGGAGTGCCTCTGGGGTTGTTATAAAGAGGTCCTCCATTGTGCACGTGGTACGGCTCAGACTGCATTGTAGTAAGTGGTCCAGGGTTTGCTCTTCTCCATACTTGCATGTCAAGGACCCCACTTAGTGTGGCCCCATTTCTTAAGGTGGGCTCTGCATCTCGTGGTGCCAGATTGCAGTCTGTTTAGTGCCTTCCAAGTTGCCCAGTCTTCTGTGTGTCCAGCGGGGAGGCTCTCATCCAGTATCAGCCATGGGTTGAGGTTCCGGGTTTTAGCCTGCCACTTTTGGACTCTCGCTTGCTGAGATGGCTGATTTTCTCACACCAGAAGCGACTTGCAACATAATTTTTATAGACTTGATTGCAATCTTATGTTGCTTGGCAAAGCCAAACACTATGTGTGTGTTGTTTTTTAATTAATCCTCTATATTTGTGAAACCCTCCAGCTAAATGGGCCCCCCGGGAGCAACCATGATCTGAGGCCCCTTCTACACTGCCATATAAAATCCAGATTATCTGCTTTGAAATGGATTATATGGCAATGTAGATTCGTATAATTCAGTTCAAAGCAGATAATGTGGACTATCTGTTTTGATAACCTGGATTATATATCAGTATAGAAGAGCGCTTGAAAAAAGCAAAAAGGTGCAATGGTTTGACTTATTGGACTGGAGACACATGGGAGATCAAAGTTTGAATATCTCCTTAGACATGGAAATTCACTAATGAGCACCAGAAGATCACATTCTTTCAGCTTCAGAGGACAACAATGGCAACTCTCTTCTGAACAAATCCTATCAAGAAAACCCTGGGATCAAGAAAACCCTGTGGTGCAGCTAGTTAGTAGCCAGCTGCATTGAATCACTACTGACCGAGAGGTCATGAGTTCGAAGCCAGCTTGGGTTGGAGTGAGCTTCTGACCATTAATAGTCTAGCTTGCTGTTGACCTATGCAGCCCAAAAGACAGTTGCATTTGTCAAGTAGGAAATTTAGGTACTGCTTTATGCGGGGAGGCTAATTTAACTTTACAACACCATAAAACCTGAGAGTTGCCATCAGTTGGAAATAACTTAAAGGCACACAATAACAACTTTATTATTGTCTAATTTGTTTTTATTTTCCTCAGTAATGGGAGAGAGGATCACAGAAGATTAAAACCAATAAAAAATAAAAATCAGAAACCTTTTTCTTTCCATTCATGCACTGTTGTTTAAAAAAAAAACACAATGTGTGCAATTAACAGCAAGTAAAACTCACAAAAATAATATTTTTGAAAGAGTTTCCCCTCCTCTCTGTCTTCAGCCCCCCCCCCCCCTGTTTTTCTTGCAAAGGTGATGGTGTCACAACAACTCTTAAATGGAGCAGGTGAGTTGCACAATTCCAGCCTTTTCTGGAGCAAAAATAGCTCAGGGCTGCCATCCTCTGATGGAAATGAGCATTGTATGGTTATACTGCCACTCTATCTCATGGCTGTATATGATAGAATCCTGGGAGTTGTAGTTTAACAAGGACATTGGACTTCTTTCCCCAAAAAGTTCTGGTGCCCCATTAAGCTACTAGCCCAGGATTTCATAGCATTGAGCCACGGCAGTTAAAGTGGTATCGAACTGCATTAATTCTACGGTGTAGATGAGGCATGGGCAAACTTCGGCCCACAGTTCCTAACAGCACTGGCTATTAGAAATTGTGGATGTTGAAGTCCAAAACACCTGGATAGATGAAGTTTTCCCATAATAAGTGTAGATGCACCCAAGATCTCCAAATCACTGGCTTTATACTTTATTAGTCGTCCCTTGCTATGTGTTGCTGTGGCCCAGGCTGTGTATAAGTATTTTGTGTATGTATGTATGTGTGTATATATTTGTGTATATGTGTGTTTGCGTATATATATGTGGTTTTGTGCATGCGTTGTAATGTATTTTTTTGTTTTTTGGCTTTTGATGTCTCTTCTGAAGTGTTTTTCAGTGTTTTTATGAGTGATGGTCACTCCTTGGCCTGAGAGGTGTCTTGTGTCCAAATTTTATATTTTTATTTATATACTAGCCATCCCCTGCCACGTGTTTCTGTGTCCCAGTCTGTGTATATGTGTGTGTATATATATTTGTGTATATATGTGTATATATGTATATATGTATATATATATATATATACACACACACACACACACACACATATATACACAAATATATATATGGTTTTGCACATGTGCTGTAATGTAATGTACACATATACACACACACACACATATATATGGTTTTGCACATGTGCTGTAATGTAATGTACACATATATACACAAATATATATATGGTTTTGCACATGTGCTGTAATGTAATTTTTGTTTTTTGGGTTTATATATTTGTGTATATGTGCATATGTGTGTTTGTGTATATATATGTGGTTTTGTGCATGCGTTGTAATGTAATTTTTGTTTTTCAGGTTTTTAAGTCTCTTCTGCAGTGTTTTTCAATGTTTTTATGAGTGATGGTTACTTGTTGGCTTGATACATGTATTGTGTCCAAATTTGGTCTCAATTCGTCCAGTGGTTTTTGAGTTATGTTAATCCCATGAACAAACATTACATTTTTATTTATATAGACTAGCTGTCCCCTGCCACGCATTGATGTGGCCCAGTCTGTGTATATGTGTTTTGTGTGTGTATATATGCGTATACGTGTGTATTTATTTGTGTATATATGTATATATGTGGTTTTGTGCAAGCATTGTAATGTATTTTTTAATTTTTTTTGGCTTGTTAAGTCCTTTCTGCTGTGTTTTTCAGTGTTTTTTTTAATAAGTGATGGTCACTCATTGGCCTGATAGGTGTATCCAAATTTGGTGTCAATTTGCCCAGTGGTTTTTGAGCTATGTTAATCCCACGAACGAACATTACATTTTTATTTATATAGATGTTTTGTTATCCTTACAGCACGAGTGCATTTTGCACCTAAAACAGGTTACATTGAGAGCAAAGCAGAAGGAAGTTTAATTTCAAAAAGATAGCCACACAGAAGGTTTCTATACTGATTTATAGTTTCTAACCAGCTAAAGTTTGCCCATGATAAGTGTAGATGCACCCAAGATGCGGCTCCCGGTTGTTTCTACTGCGCGTGATGTCAGACTGAGCGACGCCAGGAGGAGTGACAACCCGGAAACACCTCATTTGGCACCACAAGAACAGGGCCTTCTCTGTGGTGGCCCTTCAGCTGTGGAACTTCCTGCCTAGGGATATTAGATCAGCCCCCTCCCTCCTGACCTTTCGAAAAAGAGTAAAAACTTGACTCTTCGAGCAAGCATTCAGAACCTCGGGATAAATAGAAAAAACTTGAATCGGAAATTGACTCAGGAATGGCCAAGACGATGGAACGGATGAGGATTTGAATGAGAGGACATAGTTTTTAAATTTGTATTAGTCATTGTCTTTATGCAACTGTGTGTCTTTTTGTTTTATCAATGTATGTATTAATGGCATCGAATTGTGCCGACTGTGTGTGCCGCCCTGAGTCGCCTACGGGCTGATATGGCCGGATAGAAATAATATAAATAAATAAATAAATAATAAGAGGACCATTGTGGGAAGCAGGTGATTTAGATTTCCATGCAAGACTGTTTCAAAAGGAGGACAACAAGAGGTGCCAAAAGGAAATAATTCATCAGTGTATCTGATAGTGTTGCCAGGTGTTCAAAAAACAAATAAAAGTTATGAAAACTTATTTCCAAGTTTGTGTTCTGCCTCAGTGCATTCTGGCCTTCGAGCGCTAGGGGCCGCTGTGTCAACGCGAAGAATCCAGGAGGGCGTGGCTAAAGGCGGCGCCCGGTTTTTTTTACTGCGCGTGACGTCAGACTGAGCGACGCAGAGAGGAGCGACAACCCGGAAACGCCTCGTCTCCCGGTGGCCGCCATATTGGCCGGCTCCCTGGGTGCCGCCATGTTTTGAGAGTCGTTCCCAGGAGGAGCAGCTGCCTCAGTGAGAGAAGGAAGGAGAGAAGAAAAGAAGGGAAGAGGAGGAGGAGAGGGAAGAGGAGAGGGGCTGCCTCCCTCCCCAGCGAGCCAGCCATGTCTGAGACTTATGGTAAAGCGGGTCTTAAGCTGAATGTGGGTGTCTGTATTGAAAACTAAGGCTGGGGCCTGTCTTTTGGGAGGCCTGAAGGAATCACGAGGAGGTCAGCAGCTTTAGTGGTGGCTTAGTGAGAAATGGGGAAGGGATGCTGGGTCTGGTAGGGTCTGTTTCTCTTACTCTTTAAAGCAGGCATGGGGAAACTTGGGCCCTCCAGGTGTTTGGGACTTCAACTCCCACAATTCCTAACAGCCTCAGGCCCTGTGGGAGTTGAAGTCCCAAACACCTGGAGGGCCCAAGTTTCTCCATGCCTGCTTTAAAGATAAGATGCAAAGCCACACATTGATAATACTGGGAAAACAACAACAACAACAAGCCTTTTGTTTTATGACTCTGAGCAAGGTTTTGTTCAGAAGAGGTTTGCCATGGCCTTCCTCTGAGGCTGAGAGAGTGTGACCCACTCAAGGACAGCTTTCAGGATCCGAAAGGACCTCAGCCTCCCTTCGACACTGCCCTTACAATCCAGATTATCAAAGCAGAGAATTCACATCTGCTTTGAACTGGATTATAGGAGTCAACGCTGCCATATAATCCGGATTATCAAAGAAAATCCATGCGATCTGCTTTGAACTGGATTATTTGAGTTTACACTGCCAATTAATCCGTATTATTAAAGCCGAGAATCCACATTTATCTGCTTTGAACTGTATTAGATGAGTCTACACTGCTGCATAATCCAGATTATCAAAGCAGAGAATCTTTATCTGCTTTGAACTGGATTATATGAGTCAACACTGCCATATAATGTGGATTATCACAGAAAATCTATGCGATCTGTTTTGATCTGGATTATATGAGTCTACAGTGCCATATAATCCAGATTAACACAGCAGAGAACCGACATTTATCTGCTTTGAACTGGATTATACGTATTAGTTTACACTGCCGTATAATCCGGATTATCAAAAAAATCCAAGTTATCTGCTGTGAACTGGATTATATGAGTCTACACTGCCATATAATCCAGGTTATCACAGCAGAGAATCCGCATTTATCTCCTTTGAACAGGATTATACATATTAGTCTACACTACCGTATAATCCGGATTATCAACAAATCCACATTATCTGCTTTGAACCGGATTACATGGACCCCCCCCCCCCCCCCCGTGGCGCAGTGGGTTAAACCCCTGTGCCGGCAGGACTGAAGACCAACAGGTTGCGGATTCAAATCCGGGGGGAGGCGGATGAGCTCCCTCTATCAGTTCCAGCTCCTCATGCGGGGACATGAGAGAAGCCATCCAGAAGGATGATGAAAACATAAAATCATCCGGGCGTCCCCTGGGCAATGTCTTTGCAGACGGCCAATTCTCTCTCACCAGAAGCAACTTGCAGTTTCTCAAGTCGCTCCTGACACGACAGAAAAAAACCCAGATTATATGAGTCTACACTGCCATATAATCCAGATTATCACAACAGAGAATCCGCATTTATCTGCTTTGAACTGGATTATATGAGTCTACACTGCCCTATAATCTATTTTATCAAAGCAAAGAATCCAAGTAATCTGCTTTGAGCTGGATTATATAAATCTACACCTCTATATAATCCAGATTATCAAAACAGAGAATCCACATTTATCTGCTTTGAACTGGGTTAGGTGAGTCTGCACTGCTATAGAATCCATATTATCATAACAGATAATCCACATTTTCTGCTTTGAACTGGATTACATGAGTCTACACTGCCGTATAACCCAGATAATTGAAGCAGATAATCTGGATGTTATATGGCATTGTAGAAGGGGCCTCAGAGAGCTGGGCCAAAACAATCCCAAATTGTACTATCAACTGGGGGAAATACAGCCAGTTGCCAAGATTACAAACAAGATTGGTTCTGTAGATTTGTTCTTAAATTGAATTAATTTGTAAATCTGAACATGTACATTTCTTAAGAGTAACCCACACACACACACACACACACACACACACACACACACACACACACACACATATACACACACACATATGTATATCTCCCCTGTTGTGTTTGTTTTGCTGTCTGAGCTCCTGTTCAGAAGATTTCACCTTACTTTCTGTGCCTGTGATAATTGGATTTTGAAAAAAATGTCTTGTTGTGGAAATAACACAGCTGAATAAAATCCCACATTATCTGTTTTGAATTGGGATATATGGCAGTGTAGACTCAGATACCCCAGTTCAAAGCAGATATTGTGGGATTGTCTGCCCAGATATAGGATGGGTTCACTGTATATTAAAACTTAGAATCTTAGGGCCTTCCACACAGCCATATAACCCAGAATATCAAGGCAGATAATCCACAATATCTGCTTTGAACTAGATTATCCGAGTCCACACTGCCATATAATCAAGTTCAAAGCATATAATGTGGGATTTTATACAGCTGTGTAGATGGGGCCATAATAGACCATGAGCTGAACATGAGCCAGCAGTGTGATGCGGCAACTAAAAGGGCCAATACAATTCTAGGCTGCATCAACAGGAGACTCATGTCATATAGGATCCTTCCACATAGCCCTATATCCCCGAATATAAAGGCAGAAAATCCCACTATCTGTTCTGAACTGGGTTATCAGAGTCCACACTCAGATAATGTGGGATTTTCTGCCTTGATATTCTGAGATATACTTACTTTACTTACTTACTTACTTACTTAGGCGATCCCTCGTTGTCCAAGTAGGATAGTCTTCCATGATCAGTGTGCTGGCGGTGGGTCCATAGGTGACTGTGGAGCCCTATTCTTGATCTGCATCTTCTCCGCAGTGAGGGCATTGGTTTCCAGGTGGTGGTTTGATGCGCCTTCCTCTTGGCATGTTTCTCTCTTTTGCCCTCCATTCGTGCCTCTTCAAATTCTGCAGCACTGCTGGTCACAGCTGACCTCCAGCTGGAGTGCTCAAGGGCCAGGGCTTCCCAGTTCTCAGTGTCTATGCCAAAGTTTTTGAGGTTGCCTTTGAGCCCATCTTTCAATCTCTTTTCCTGCCCACCAACATTCTGTTTTCTGTTATTGAGTTCAGGGATATAGGGCTATGTGGAAGGGCCCTATGATTTACCTCAATCCAGACATGTCTCTTGTTGATGCAAGGGCTTTGTGGAAGGGCCCATAGTCTCACTCTAATTTGCTTTGGTTAGACTTTATTTAGAAGCATAGTGTGTCCAGTTCTGGCACCACAGTTCAGCCCCCGGTGGCGCAGTGGGTTAAACCCCTGTGCCGGCAGGACTGAAGACCAACAGGTCACAGGTTCGAATCCGGGGAGAGGCGGATGAGCTCCCTCTATCAGCTCCAGCTCCTCATGCAGGGACATGAGAGAAGCCTCCCACAAGGATGATAAAACATCAAATCATCTGGGTGTCCCCTGGGCAACGTCCTTGCAGACGGCCAATTCTCTCACACCAGAAGTGACTTGCAGTTTCTCAGGTCGCTCCTGACATGACAAAAAACAAACAAACAAAAAACCACAGTTCAAGAAGAATATTATCAAATGTCCAGATAAGCTCCATCAAAATACTCCAAGGTTTAGAAGCCATGCCCTATGAGGAGTGGCTGAAAGAACTGGGTCAACTGAAACTTGGGGAAGAGTTGATGAAAAAGTGACATGTTAGCCAGGTTTAAATATGGGAAAAGATGTCCCATTGAGAAAGGGGCAAGCTTGTTTTCTGGTGCTCCAACATTCAGTAATACTGACAATTATACTAATACACAGTTTTCCATTAAAGAGATTAGGACACTCTGGAGCAATAGATTCAAACTGTAGGAAAAAAATACTCCACATAAATATTAGGAAGAACTTCCTAACAGTAAGAGCTGGTTGGCAGATACACTGCCTTGGAGTAAGGTGGGGTTTTCTTCTCGCTTTCTTCAACGTTTTGATTTTAAGGCATAGCCCTACCAGGATTTTAAGCTGTGAGAATGCTTCCTATGTGGACCAAATGCTTGCCCAGATAGCTGCTTGTTTTCCCCACAGCAGTGTATGGCACCACAACCTTTCCTCTTTTCCTTTCCATGCCTAAAGTGATGGTTTGTTGTAGACATCAGGAAAGCTGCATCAAAGCTGTGAAACAAACCCCTGGTTAATTTCCATTTAACCACACACATGAACTGATTGTGTTCCATTGGTTTGCAGCTGAAGAGCCCTGCCATTTGTTTTCATATTTTGCAAACCGGACTTGAAGGATTATTGCTGGGTGGGCATCTTGAAAGCCCTTCCGATTATTCTCCTGAGCTCATAAATTGAAGAAGGCAGGATAAGGAAACTTAGATCATAATTATATCTTGTTTGCGGAGGAAATACTTCAGCTCCCCACTAATCACCCTCATTACATTCCATTAGGTCAGGTTGTTCTTTCCCCCCCATGTAAGACAAGCAAATAGAGGCTTTAGATCTTGGAAACTCCTGTTGCTGAATGAAATACCAGGACACATGTTATTTATTGCCAGTCTCCTGATAATTATACCCTTATTGCCACCTTGGTAGGTGAGCCAGATCCAGCAACGGAGTACTGGTTCCATGGCAGATAAGGATCTTAGCTAAGTGAATAGTTTTTCAAAGTGTTACAACACTAAACACATTCCCCTGTATACCAAACTGTACCAGTTCTGCACCGGTTTAATATAGAACACTTATGAAACTGGGAAGTTTGCAGCACCGAGAGGCAAGAGGATGCAATTTAAAATGGGTGAAAGAGAAAGCTATGGTTTGTAGACTTCTTATAGCAGTGGTTCTAATGCCGCGACCCCTTAATACAGTTCCTCATGTTGTGGTGACCCCCAACCATAACATTATTTTCGTTGCTACTTCATACTGCCATTTTGCTACTGTTATGAAATAATGTAATATCTGATCTGCAGGATGTATTTTCACACTGGACCAAATTTGGTATAAACACCCGATAAGCCCAAATTTGAATACTGGTGGGGTTGGAGGGGAGATTGATTTTGTCATTTGGGAGTTGTAGTTGCTGGGATTTATAGTTCACC